GCTCACCTGTCTGTGTGGCTCACCTGTCTGTGGCTCACCTGTCTGTGTGGCTCACCTGTCTGTGGCTCACCTGTCTGTGGCTCACCTGTCTGTGGCTCAGGTACTGTTCTTCCAGACGGCCCAGGGTCTCCGGCTGCAGCAGAGAACCCAGACAGGCCGTCTTGATCCCGTCCAGCTCTTTGTGTTTCAGGATTTCACTGCAGGATCCAAAATAAACTCATTAAGATAAAACTTCTGCAGAAAAACATTTAAACATTTTGGGTTTGTTGCTTCTGTTTGGCTGTTTTTATTTACAGAAAACATCGATAAAGTCACTGCTGCCCTTAACTAAATATATTTTCTGCTCCCATAGAAAGTTTTTCTTGCTCAGAGCTTCTGGTTTTACCGTTTCCCTGGATGAGGCATCGACAGAGCGAAAGCTACTGATAAGTGGAGCTAATTTTTTAGCACAAAGTGTTTTGCTAACTTCTGAACACATAGCGCAGTTAGCTTCTGCTTCCAGATCTGTTATAAATTATAAATTGCATGGCTGCAGTGGTGGGCACACTTCTGCTAATGTGAGTAGAGCTAATTTTTGGTTTAGCTCATTAATTTTCTGCTATCTTGGAAAACATTTAGCACTGGGCAGGCTAACTAACTTAGCTTCTCCTAAATTAGTTTTACCACAACTTCATGCCATGGATGGGACGTTGTCCTCGTGGACTGCGTCCCTCCAGGACAGAAAACTAATCGGCTCTGTGGTGGGAACCCTTCTGCTAAATACGCTAAGGCGCTAATAGCACGGCTAATATTTTGTTTAGCTCTTTTGATAACTTTGAAAACGTTTAACACACTTACCTTCCCATAAATTAATTTTTACAGATAAATTTTAAAGTGCTAATTTACTTGGCTGTCCTGTAAACTTTAAGTTTGCTATATAACTTCATGTTACGTAGCAATTTACTTTTACTCAGGACTAGAAGTTTAAAATCTCCTGCATGCTTTCTGACCGAAGCTCCGTCGTTAGTTAGGCTGAATTAGTTTAATAATTGACATGAACTGTTTGTTTTTCACTTTAAGAGCCTGAAAATATCGCCTTGCACTTTAAAAATCATCCAAGCAGGGAAATTTCCTGAGCCAAAGAGAGGAAGTTATAAATAAGTTAATTTAAGACCACGTACCAAGGTCCTGTGAAGCAGGAAGGCCGTGTCCACGGAGAGCGGAGTGACTCACGGCAAAACAAATCCAATCCTGACAGAAATCAGGATATTTACGACCGAATGGGATCCACACTGACGGCCAGCAAACAACCTGCTAGCCACCAAACGCTCCAAAATAAACCAGGGAACGGAGATCCAGAAGGTTCCTGAACTTATGATCGCAGTCAGATGATGCAACATGTGAACCGAACTAACTGGTTTATTCTTCATGCAGCTTTATAGAGAAGAGCCTGGGGATGTTTATAACTACATCCAGTTCATCTCAAGATACCAAGAAAGGAAATGACTACCAGCACCAAGAACCAGTGAAGGAAACAACACAGGAACCTCTGAAGACACTGAGCTCAACCTCCCGATAAATTCTGATTCCTTCATAACCTTTCAGTTCGGTTATGTTTCACATCTGGGTTAAAATTTTGGGTTTTGACTTTAAGATTTTCTGTTTAGCGAACTATTGTTTTTGATTAGCATTTTAGGGTTAGCACAGCTACTGATTTAGTTACAATACGAAGAGAAGCAAATGAAGCCTCGTTTGAAGGCAACAGCGTGAACGGTTGCCATGGAAACTGACTCAGGATAGTAGTGGTTGACCCAGAACAGCAGGTAGCTGCAGTCGTCCAGGTCCAGCTCGGAGGAGCAGAGCTGGGCCAGGCGGGCGGCGAAGGCCTGGTGGTAGAGTCCGCCGTAGATGTTCAGGACGTCCATCCTGGACGGGTAGCAGTGCCTCACCGCCTCCGCCGCCGTCAGCAGGTCCTCCTTCACACGCTTCCCCAGGCGGCACACCTGGACAGGTGAAACAAGGCAGAGAGGATCAGTCAGGCTGCTGCTGCTGTCCGTCCATCCATCCATCCTCACCTGTCTCTTGGTGACGGAGGACAGCTGTCCAGTGTCTCCTGTCTCGTTCTCTTCTGCGTCCTTCAGTTGTTTTTCCACCATTTTCTGCAGCAGCAGGTTGTGCGTCCTCAGCCACCTCAGCGGTCGCCAGACGGGGGCGCTGTCCGCAGGACGCTCTGTCCAGCGCTGGTCCTGCGTCTCCTGCTGCAGGATGGTGTCCACGGCGCTCCTCAGGACGTCCGGCCGTCCAGCGGGGGTCGCCGTGGTAACGAAGCTGCTGTGGACGGCCATCCAGACCCGGACGCTCAGAGACTCAAAGTCCTTCAGTAGCCGGTCCTCCTCTTCCTCACTGCGGCCGTCCTGGGTGAAGAGCTCTTCCTCCCTGAGGATCAGCTTCCTGCTGAGGTCATCCAGCCGCTCTTCCTCCTGCTGCTCCTCTTCCTCCTCCTCATGCCCGCCGTCCGGCTGGTCGTCTGCAGGAAGCGACACGGAGACACAGAAAGCTGCAGCTCTTCCATCTAAATGATTTAACTAGACCTTCGTCCTAAAAGACGACAGCGTGTTGCACCCAGGGGAGAAATGGACGAGCCCAAAACTCTGAAATGTTATTAAACAATAAAAAACGACATTTCTGACTTTTCAAAGTCAAACATTTGCTGGGAGAAAAGTCAGATATTTTCTAGAAAAAAAAGTGTTTCAAAACTTAGAAAATTTCCAAAACTGAAAATGTTTCTACTTTTGAAATTCAGAAAATTACAGAAAATTTAAAATTACTCAAAAAAAAAAAATCCAGATTTTTCTTTAGAAAATTAGCAACGTCTCACATTCAAAGGTTTCCTTGTTTTTTTTTCTCTGTCACATTTTAGACTTTTTAAAGACAGAAAGTTCTTGAATTTTAGAATTTTTTCAGATTGATCTCAAAATTTCTAATTTTTTTTCTAGAAATTTTCAAAGTGAGACTTTTTTTTTTCCCAGAGAATCTCTCTTTTAAACCTCTCAGGATTTTTCCTCCTCTTTTTGCGGCTCTGGTCTGCAGGTTCTGACCTCCATGCTGGTTCTTATGTTTGCGGTGTCTCCAGATCTTCGCGGGGATCTTCATCTTGGGGAGTCTCATCCGGGGTCCTCCGGGGTTCTCATCGGCGCCCCCTGCTGTACATCAGGGAAACACCAGTTAAAATCTGGAAACACGTTCTTTAACTTAATAAACAGAAAAGTCATTTTTATACATTTTTAATTAATTATTGTTAGAAATTACGAGCCCATGAAAATAAAATAAATACATTTAAGGAAACATAACATAGCATTTACTGGCTGTGTTATGTGAAATTAATTCAATTTCACAAAATAATTGTCAGGATTGATGTGGTTGTGCTGAGGAGAGGACGCTGAGACCCAGGTTGTGATTAAGATGAAGGATTTAATGGTAAAGAAGCTCAAACTGTCCAAAAACAGGCACTGAAGTTAGCACGCAGCTAAATACCGGTAGCACTGACACGATGAGCTGCCAGCACAGGCCTTCACAGTTCAACTGTGCGGGCAGACTAACAAAGACGACGTGGACGTACGTTACATAAACTTAGACAAGGATCCGACAAGGAACACAGACAACAGGTGAGACTAAACACACTGGGAGGGTAATCACAGGAACGAGACACAGCTGGGATCAATCAACGGGGAGGACAGGACAGAGACTCACAGGGAAACAGGACTAAACACAGAAAATGTCAAAAATAAACACACAGAAACACGGATCATGACAATAATTGTCTTTTTTTTTATCAATAATTAGATCATTATTATGACCTCCTGAATATAAAAATGAATTCGTAAAAATACTTAAACCTTCTGGCTAGGTTTTAATTTAATACATATAACATTTCCATATTGCATCTCTATTTATAAATATCGGAATTATTAATTATTCTAACAGTTGTGTTTCAAAAACCATATTTTAGATTGAAAGAAAAAAATCAATAAAAATGTTAAAAAATAATGATTCTGCATTTGTTAGTTTGAGCTTCATTTAATTTATTAAATCACACATGCAATATTATAATTATTAAGGCAGTGGATAGTTTAAATAATATATCAGTTACAAATCAAAGTAAAGTAAAAAGAAATGCGTTAATTTTCCTCTTTCTTCTGTGCTTAAAGGTTCAATATTCAGTTCTCGTTCATAATAAAACAAATAAAAACTATTTACCCAGAATTCCTGTTAAATATTTCAGTTCAAGCCAAGTAAATAAAGACTAGCCAACAATAAAACGGAGAATAACAGATTACAGCATCGTATTCGGAGACCAGATTACAGCCTATAGAACCAGTTCGGAACCAGTCCAGAACCGGTCCGGATCCAGTCCGGATCCAGTTCTCATCTTAAAACGACAGAAACCTCCAAACAGACGTTTCTGTGGTGAAAACCGGGCCCGTTCGGGGTCTGCTCGCTGAAATCTGATTGAAAAGTTACGATGAAGAGGAGTTAGAACCGCCTCACCTTCATCATCTCCCGCACAGATTCATCCCACAAACACACCATCAGAACCGCCAGAACCCAAAACCCAGTAAAGTTGGAGCGGAGCTCCGCCATACCTCCTCTCATCTCCCCGAGCGGACCAGTTCTCCGCCGGACGGGTCCGGAGAACAAGGGCGGGGTTAACGTCGGTGAGGGCGGGGTCCGGAGGAGTTATTCATTGCCATCATTTTCTGTTCTAACTGCGATGCATTAAAACTGGCATTTATTATATAAATGTTTTTTTCATGAACGCAAATAAGAGACCCGGAAGTGACAGAAGCAGACAAATGAGAGATTTCCTGTTTCAGTGTGACGCTGATGAAGCGGCTCTGCAGCGATGCGTTAAAAGTAAAAAGTTAAAATCTGCTCTCACCCTGTTTGTTCAGCATGCAGACGCAGAGGAGGCTCCACGCGTCCGGAACCAGAACCATGGTTCCCGTTCGGCTCCACAGGCTCGGTCCAGATCAGACAGTGAGCATCTGGTCCCAAACACTTTCAGTTTCCTTTAGATCCGCATCATGACAAAACCTAACCCCTCTTCATCCTCCTCATCCTCCAGAGGAAGGCTACCATCACTCATCACAAATGCGGCACAACCAGAAGTCAGTTCAGTCCAGATGTTTTCCTCTCAGCTGTTTCAGTGATCGATAATCAGCTGATTATTAATTAATAATCAGCTGATTATTAGTTAATAATAATCAGCTGATTATTAGTTAATAATAATCAGCTGATTATTAACTGATAATTAACTGATAATCAGCTTATTATTAACTGATAATTAACTGATAATCAGCTTATTATTAACTGATAATGAGCTGATTATTGACTGATAATCAGCTGATGAGCGGATCAATGACGTTTTCAGGTTCAGCTCCGTTCAGCCAAGGCCGCCTGTGTCGCCTGACCGTCACTCTGATGCCCTCTGGTGGTCATTCATAGAAATACTGCAGCTTCCAGTATTACAGGTGCACCATAATAATAATAATAATAATAATAATAGCATATTAAACAAAATGATCGCTCTTCAAAGTAATACTAATAAAAGACAATTAGCAATAATTATTAATAATTATTGCTATTTTAGAGATTAATTGCTAATTAGTTGCAATCAATAAATAATACTATTGTAATTAATAATAATAATAATAATAATAATAATAATAATAATAATAATAATAATAATAATAATAATATTACCCTGCTTGCTCTTCAGGCTCCTCCACATGTCCTCAGGTTCTGATCCAGTTCTGGTTCTGCTGCAGAGATCAGATCAGACATTGAATCTGTTTCCATGGAGATGGATCTGATCTGGTTGATCCTCTCTAACCATCCTAATAGGATCAGCGTCCATGTTTATGACGTCACAGCCGGATCTGGGCGTTTTCACTTGAATACAGCGTTTTAGAAACAGGAGCAGAAAAACAGAGAAAATACCTGATCAGATGGAAAACCGAGGATCCAGCAGCTGATCTGCTTCCTGCCTGAAACCTCCTCAGCATCTCAACCAGACCGAAACACTTTCACTTTCACCCACTGCATCATCATCCTCATCCTCTTTCCATCCACATCAGTCAGGCTGAGCTGCAGAGGAGTTCATCCATTCATTTAGTGTTTTCCTGATTCACTGGTGTGACTATTTTCAGTCATCAAAAATCATCAAAAACTATTAATTTCATTAAAAACGTCACATCATTTCATTAAATATCATATCTGATATAAATATAAAGCAAGAACTGAAACATTTAATCCATCAAACGTTATTAAATAGTTTAAACATCTGAATAAAAATTTCATCGACATCTTCCAGTGACTAATCACTAATGGGGTTGGAGGATGTAGTGACGGTAAACTACCAGCAGAGGTCAGTGTAGCGCAGAGGTCACCTCTTTGTGTTGGGAGAGAAAATGGATCCGAGCCTCAAGTTTAACGTTAAGCCCTCAATGATGACGTTAAGCTTTGATCCAGTCATTATTTTATCCGGGTCAAGGTTCTCCAGGCTTTCTGTGAAGGTTTTATGGGGAAGGTGTGTCTTTTTTTTGGAAGGTGTGTCTTGTTTTTTTTTTTTTTTTTACTGAAATACTCCTCTGATAGCAGCATGAACACAGGATCAGGTTCTCTCAGGATGTTTTCCCCAGTAGATTCGGTTCGATTTGGAACCAAAACTTAAACATTTGTTCCGTTTCCAGCTACTGTGGTTCTGTTTCTCATGGATTTTAGTGGTTGGAGGTAGAGATGTGCCGATCAGGTTTTTTCCTCCCGATACCGATCACCCATGAGGGCCGATCACTGAT